TTGAAGCATTTGTGCTTCTCAGATTTTTTTTTTCCAGGGCACCAACAGGGAAATCAGCTTCTTTTTCATGTGGTTACTTGAAAACTTTTGTTGGGATCAAACAGATCTGCTCAATTTACATTTTCATTCAGACTTTTTTATATCACCTGTTATGTAGGTTTAGCTTAGGAAATGTTATGCTGCCCGCAACAAAACAGAAAGGCCATACTGGCTAACAGAATCCAGATCAGGGGAGATATAGCAGCAGGTGTCTGGGAGCCTAAACTAAATGGGGAAGTGGAAGCAGAGAGACCCACCTCTCAGATCGGTGAATGAGACAGTTGTGCAACTCTTGATCTACCATTTCCTCTTTATCAAAATATTAAATCAAAATGCAAGAGACCAGGTAGATGGACAGGTATTATCCTGCATAAAGCCTCACCTGTCCAATAGCTGGGAATCAAATGCCTGTTCATTGCCATTCTCCAGGCAGTCAGGCAAGTATCCACATGACTAGACCATGCGCTCTCCCAAATAGTGACTGCCAGGTGCTTTGGATAATATTTCTCTTTTAACAATTTTTCAAAGACATCCGATTCAGTGCTGGATGGATAGATTTTTCCTCTGGGAAAATTTGGTGTCCAGATTTCTAGATCAAATACCTCTTTGGGAAGGCGCCTTGGAAGCAGTAAGTAAGGACTATCTCAATAAACTTGTAGACAGACATCTACTTCTGTGATTAAGTCTTGTTCTCCCTCCCTGTTTTTGTGGTGGTGGCTGAGGCTCTTGACTCAGTGGAGACTTACCTCAAGATGGGATGCTGTTCCTTCATGCTTTCTTTTCCCTGTGTTGCTCCTAAGCTTATCCAGCACTGATAAAGGGTGAGTGCCTTAGAACCACAAAACCTTCATCCCGACCTCCTCACCTGGCAACTGTGCCCACTTTATTTCCAAATGCACCTAGATTCCTTCTTAAGCCTATAATCTGGGTTGGTTTTGCTGCAATCCTCTGCATTTTCAGTCTGCTTTGTCTTGCTTAACCCTGACAAAAGGTGTACCGGCTGTTGCCTGGCCCATCCTTGTGGCTTCTGGTTTTCTGTCGGCTTCTTAGATTTCTGTACCACTAGTCAAAGCTCATGCTGTGCGGCTGAGAAGAACACATGACAGGATTTTTCCAGACTTGGGCAGTAAATGAGAAATTGCAAGAAATGTGTGATAGCAGTGTTTTAGACCCCGCTTGTGCCAAATTATAATCTTGTTGCATTGATTAATTTTTGCAGCTCGTTAAGAAAAATCAAAGAACGTATTTCAAAGGCTACATTTTGTGGTGTCTTTTGGAGCAGGAAAATTTGAGCAGCTTTTCCTTCAAATACTCTTCTCTATAGTAAGGTATGTACCAGATTAGGTGTGGTCTGTTACCACAGATCAAAACAAGTGGGAAGTGCAGAGTTCACTTTAATGCAGGAAAGATCCCTTTTCTGGGATTTTGTGACATTACCTGTAATGGCTCTTGACACACATACTCTATAAGAGGTTTTTGACCTCTGATATTTGTTCCCAATCCTTGCATCATATATAAAGGAGTCTTAAATGCCTTCGGAGTGATAGCTAATTTGCATTTGCAACTTCTGGGGAAAATCCTAGATTGGGCACTAGAAAAACAAATGAGATTAAAGCCATATCTAATTATGGTGGGTATAGCTGGCATAGTCAGTATGACATCACAGAACCCTGCCTTTGGAAGCAGTGATCAATAATAACTCTTTTCATTCTCTGGCAACTGTCAATATAGTGGATGGGAATTCCCAAGGGTTGGAGTTGCTAATAACTGTCTTTCCTGTACTGTTCCTGGAGAAGTATGAGAGAGTTGCTCTGGTGCTCTTCTCTCTGTGCTGCTGGGAGCTGCCTTTGGCTCCTGTTAACACTGTGTGGTTTCCAAAGTGACTCATGGTGGGTAGCAGGATCAAAGGTGTCTCTCCTAGCTCAGACGGGACAGATTGCTCTGCAGTGTATTTTCTTTCCACTGCGTCCTCACCAGGCACTTATTTACCTTTTGCTTTCTCTCCTTATCCAGCACAGAATAACCCACTCTCTGTCTTCCCCACCGTGTATATGCACTCCCCTCCATTTTTAATGGCTTTGTAGGCTTCTGCGTAGCATAGTACTGTGCATGAATGGCTCTTTCTTTAGGGGTGAAGAGCAAGACTACAATCCTCCACCCTGCTATCAGTTTGTTACAAGTAATGTACTTTGGGCCTCTCTCTAGTACTTCACAGTAGCCTGGCTGCGTTAGCATGTGTATATTTCCATATGAACGTAAGAATCTGTGTTGTGCTGAACCATAAGCAGTACAGGTTTTTTTGTTTTGTTTTATTTTTGTGATTGGGTCTGTAAGGACATCTTATGAATGAGGAGCTGCCAAAAACGGAAGCAGAAATATTCTGGGCGCAAAAGAGATGTTCTACAATTAAGATTTGCTTCCATTTGTTATCTCATAGAGTTGGGAGGGCAGATCAGGTCACTGTGATTTTCAGTAGGAACTGAGAAAACACAAGACTCCATCCATAAATCTGGAGCCTATCATGCTCTAAAAGAAGAGTCAAAAAAAGAATTGTTAACTTCTCAGAGTTAGAATCCAATGAATTTACTGCTTCACTTCAATATAAACCCCTTAGCTTGGTTCAACAAGGTTTAACTGATAAAAATTGACATAGTTTTTACCAGTCCGATTACTTGGTTACATATTCTCTACATCAACATGTAGATGCTTAATAGAGTTAGAGGTAGGAATCTCCCCACTGATACCTGGATATAGTTAAATTTGGCTGTCTGTGTGCAATAAATGTGTTTTGTTCTTGAACAGACAACAGAACATTGAGTAGAAATGATAGGGAAGGCAAGTGAGAAACAAGGTGCACATACAGCATGGAAGTAAACAAAATAAGATAAAAATAAAAATCAGCTAACTCATTTGCCTTCAAAAATAAGGCATTAATGGTGAGATACCCGGATGCTGATATGTGCATATTGTTTTGTGTTGAAAACAAAAAAGATAATTTCATCTGAATCTGAATTTCATTCATCCAGATATATATGAACTAGAATACTGTCATTGTATTTTAAGCCTGAAGTTATGAGTTTTGTCCATTAAGAAAAAAAAATAGTGAAAGAAAAGGTGGGGTTTTTTTTGTCTTGTGAAGCCCATCTAATAAAAAGCAGGATCAAAGTAAAGGACAAGTGAAATTATGGTATGTTGTAAATGACAGAAGAAAATCCCTGATAGGAGATAAGCATTTTTTCCCCCTCCTTTACAGCTGAGATGGATTATCGGGCAATAATTAATGAATTGGGATACTGAGGATATATCCAGAAGGTATAGAAGGTTCCATGATAAAATTGCCCACCAAAGTACCAAAAATTAGGTTGTATATTTCAACGTGGCATAACTAGCAAGGCTTCTGAAATCGTTAAGGCTGGATTTTTTTAAAAAAACAATTTTTCTCCACTTCCCATCTGCCAGAAAATCTGGAGAACATACAATGGCCAACAGACTGGAAGGGTCAATCTACATCCCAAAGGCAAAGAAAGAAGACTTAACAAAGTGTGCAAACCATTTGCACAATATCCTTAATCTCACCTGCTAGCAAAATATTGTTTAGCATCATCCATTGCAGATTAGAGCCCTATACCAAAAGTGAAGTGCCAGATATTCAGAGAGAAAAGGCTGAGGAACATGAGGCATTATTTCTGAGACAAACTAAATAATTCAGAAAGCCAATAATACCAAAAGGAAATCAATAGGCCCTTCATTGTAGTCAACATTACTTTGGCTGTGTTTACCATGTCAAGCTGTGGAAGGTCCATAGGAAAATGGGAATCACAGAACATGTAACTGTCCTCATGCAAAACCTAGGCACAGGACAGGAAACCACAGTCTGAATGGAACATGGCAAAACAGACTTATCTCCCAGTATGTATACTCTCTTCTTAGTTATTCAAGCTATACACTGAATATATATATCGAGAGAGATTGGATTAGGGAACAAGAGTGGTTTTTAAAGTGGAAGAAAAAACGTTGTAGCTTGTGCTATGCTGATGTCAGTGCTCTATTAGCTGAAAATGCAAATGATCTACAAGTTCAAATTAAGGTGCACAGTGAAAAAACATGGGATTAATCTAAAATATAAAGACCAAATTAAGGACAACAGATACAACAACCAGAAGTAAAATTGAAGGTAAAGAAATAGATTCTTCCTTTTAAGATCAACCATCAACAGTAAGGATCCAGAAGTCAAAATAATATGCTAGAGACTAGCGCTTGGTAGAATAATGATGAAGTCCTTTGAATAGGTAATCAAATGTGTAACATACCTATTCTTAGAACAATCAGTATCATGCAGATTGTGATTTTCTTTGTTATAATCAATGGAAGCAAAAGTTGAACTTTGAAAAGCAGGATAGAAGGAATAATGACACTTGTGACCTTTGCTATCGGAGAAGATTCCTGAGAATATCATGATGAGCTAGGAAAACAAACCAATGTATCATAAAACAATTGAATCCAGAGTTCTCATATAAGGCTCAAAATACTATATTTTGAACACATATAAACATTTAGTTTTCTTGGTAAGTCTATAATGCTGGGAAAGATTGAAGGAAAGAGAAGAGGATGACCAGCGGTGAGCTAGATGGACTCAATATCAGCAGCAGTGAATGTCCCATAGAGTAACCTAAAATGTTAATTTGAGGACAGATCATGATGGGGAAAATCTATATGGTTGCTAAGAGTCAGCATGAACTTGATGGCATAATCTCCCCCCAACTATCACAAAAGTTTTTTTAAAAACTTTGAATTCTACAGATTCTTTCTCTCATGATTAGCATCCTCAAAGCATGCCCCATCAATACCCAGAGATATTTCATTTGATAGAGTGCCAATATAGCAAACATTAGTAAGGACCAATCCAACATAGCAACATTTAGCCTTCCTGTTTTGAGCAATTGTACTTGCACTTACTTAATCAGTTTGAAATGGATAGAATGATGGCAAGCACTAACAAAAGAGATCCTTGCTGGGAATCAGATTATTTCAGGATGTATTGATCTGTGTGACAAAGCATCATGATTTGAAGTCCTGTGCTTTAGAGAGCTAGATTTACAAAAACAGCTTAAAATGGAGATGTCCACAAACCTAGGCAGCAGCTGAATTTAGGAAGAGATGAATTTAGTCCCGCAGGGGTCGGCAACCTTAAACACTCAAAGAGCCACAAAGGTCCTAACCGGAAGCCCCCTTTCTATTCTGGAGCCGACCGGAAGTCTGGTTCCCCCACCATAGAGTCTCCTCCTTGTATGGCATCCTTTTTTCTCTGCTGACTGGAAGTCCGGTTCCCCCACCATAGAGTCTCCTCCTAGCGCGGCATCCTTTTTCCTCTACCTGTCCTAACCGAAAGCCCTATCAATTGTGGAGCCAACCAGCAATAGGGAGCCGCAGCAGAGGGATGAAAGAGCCACATGCGGCTCCAGAGCCGCGGGTTGCTGACCCCTGGGCCCTGTTGCCTCACAGTCCCTTTCTATGGTGGCTGTTCGGGCTTTGCTGTTTCAGAGAATAACAGTAATAATGAACAGCTGGAATAAAGATTGCTTGTATGTGTATTTGGAAGTGACCCCATTTAAATTTGAAGGTTCTCTTGATCCAGCTTTTTACAAATTAATTAATTAAATTTATATGCTGCCCATCTTACTATCAAGCAACTCTAGGTGGCTTACAACAGAATAAAAACAAAAATATAAAAGCATTGAGATTAGATAAAACTAGGAACCAATGCAGGAGCGAAATGGAGTGGGATCTTCTTTCTTAGTCCTCTAGGTGGAATAACCATCAAGACCTCAAGCCAACTGGCAGAGCCAGGTTTTGTCGCCCTTTCAGAAAATTAAGAGGATGGGGGCATATCTCACCTCCAGTAGCACAATGTTCTGGCAGGCGGGGGCTACATCAGAAAAGACTCTTCTCCAGGACCCCAGCAGCCAAAGTTATTTGAATAATGGGTCTTCAACATGCCCCTTCTGCCAGAGTGAGTGGGGCAGACCAGTCCCATTGGGGCGAGAGAGTTCCTCAGTAGCGTGGCCCCATGCCATGAAAGGCTTTTAAAGGGGACACCTTGAATTGGACTTCAACACCTTGAATTGGACTTGGAAGCAAAGTCTCATCATTCCAGCACCATAAGCTCCCTTGCTGCTAATGAAATGGACAGATATTGGAAGGCCTAACAACAGAAGTATTTCTGACCCCACTCAAATTGCTGTCTGATCTGTCAATATGCTCATAATCAACTCCTTAGTGTAAAGGTCTGATTTCTGGCATCATAAGAGACAATAAGGAGATACTTTAGAAAACTAGTATTCTAATTCAAAGTGAAATATTTAGAAGGATGGAATGAACATTACCCAGTTTCAGGAAAAATTTGCAGAACACAAGCAGCCTCCATCTCTGCCTTTCCAATAGTTCTATAGAAGAATGGAATGTGGCCCATTATGACTGGCAAAAATTATTATAATTGTCTCAAGGAAATATAAAATACATAGGTGTCAGAAATAAGATGGCTGGCTGCAAACAAAAAATGGCTTTAAAGTTAACATTTTTTTTCCTTTTTCCTTCTTAATAGTGCTTGGTGTACTCTAATTCTAATTGATCTAAATATTACAAATTTACAAATCAAAAATAAGAAAAAATAGATATAAAATTGTGACAGTAAGACTGAGAGAAAGTTCAGGCTTCAGAACTTTGGATCATTGTTAGATTTCCAGTGGAACCATCTTTCAAATTTCTGATATTTTTATACTTTGGGGTTATGAGGGAAAGAGTCACTTTGTCATCAATATTAACTTAATTGTTTAAAAATACAGTTCCTTGCATTCTTATCAAGGCATAGTCCCAAATCACGATTGCCTTATACTGTGATGGCGAACCTATGGCACGCATGCCACAGGTGGCATGCGTAGCCATATCAGTGGGCATGCGAGCTCAGCTCCGCCCCATTGGAAGTTGGCAAACGGGCTGTTTCTGGCCTCTGGGGGGGTGGAAAGGCCGTTTTCACCCTCCCCAAGCTCCTAGAAAGGCTCTGGAGCCTGGGGAGAGAGAAAAACAGGCATACCGGGCCCAATGTGCCATCGTGTGCCAGGAGCGGGGGGGGAGCGGGGGGTCATGCATGCATATGTGGGGGTGGGGTGCATAGAATAATGGGTGTGGGCATGCATGCACATGATCCCCTCCTCGCCCCCTCCTGGCACGCGATGGCAAAAAGGTTAGCAGCCATCACTGCCTTATACCATATTTTCACTTAATAGTTTCATGGTTCAGACATCACAGAACTGTTATTTAAATTGACAGAAAAGTGGCAGATTAAAGTACACAGTGAGAACTACTGGATCTTTGTAGTCACAAAAGAAGGTTCATTTGGTCTACTGGACGGATTCTTTCCAGATGATTATAGAAAATGTATTATTGAGGGCTTATGGATTATTGAAGTGCAAATATTGCAAGCATTTTGTAAATCTTTTGGCTGTGTGGTACCCAGCTTGAAGCAAATTTTCTAAAGCAATACCAGAACAATGATGGGAACGTAATCCTGCAACAAACTCAGGTATCTGTTTTGCCGCAAGATTTATACCAATAGTACCATCACAAGGCCCCACAATTTCACACACAAAATTAGAGGCTCCTTTATATGCTTGGTGTCATCATCTACTAGCATTAGCCTTCTGGATTGTACATACGGCAAACCGAACAGACTTTGTGTAAAAGAATAAATGGATACAAATTTGACATCAGGACTGAAAATAAGAACAAAATAATATCAGAGCATTATTCAACACGCTTCCTGCTGTTTGATGCTCACCTGGAGTTGCACAGGACTAATGTGGCAGAAGAAGGAACTTAACTCATTCATCTAAGCTTTGGGCCTTGGTCCAAACTACAGGTCTGTTCTCTTATCCTTGGTCTCCTTTCTCCCAAGCGCCTGTAACTCCATCACCTTTCCTTTGGCTCTGCTCCAGAAGAACGAAGAAAGCTTCCACCGCTCTTGTAAACAGGCAAAAAGGGCACTGCGGGAAGGGAGGGGGAGGGAATCTGAGGGTGGGGAAGATTCCACAAGGGGCCTTCACAATGTCGTTTCCCCCGCACCCCCTTTCTTCCTAACGGAGAGCTGTGAGAAAGGATTGTAGCCCAAACCGGGGAAAACAGCAGGCCGAAGAGGAAAGAAAAGGTTATTGAGCAGCGGGCAGGGCTGCTGTGGTCTCCGAATGAGCATAGACCGTCAGTTGTTAGGTGGGTGCCTTAGTGGGGAAAGACTGCCTTGATTATGCATTATGCGGCAGTTACACAGGGACAGCAACCCTGCATTCCCCGTTCCACAGAGCTGGCCTTTATGTGCCTGACATTTACTCTCCAAACTTTGGGGCTATGGGGGAGAAAGGAAAACACTGTGTGCAGCACTTGGCCACGCTGGCCTGTCACACACACACTCACACACACACTCACACCACTTCCACTGGCTGCCTTCTTCCTGTTTGCCCCATTGGCTGCCCCGCTTATGACCCCTCAATCCCCCCCTCAGCCCATTGCTTGACCCTCCTGGGGCTTTCCTCTTTGGTGGGGTCCCTGGGATGACCTGGAAGCTGAGACCTGTTTTCCTGTTGTTGGGCAAATCTCTAAGACTCGGGATCGGGCAGAAAGCAGCTGAGATGAGCCTTTTCCCTTCTGATCACTTGGGATAAGCATAGCGCGGAGCAAAGCCAGATCGGCTCCATTCCCCTGAGGGATCACGTTTGTTCTTTTCAAAGGTGTTGTTTAATCAGGTTGCTGGTTCTCCTCTTTCGTACATCCTTCCATTTTCGTTTTTTGGCAACAGATCCTGCCAGCACTTCAACTTTCTTTAACTTTCTTTAAGCCTGCCCCTTTACTAGCATAGGTTATCCTTGGCACCTAAGATGCGAATACATAGATGAGATGATTAAGTATTTATTGCTCTGTTATCTAGGAAGGATTGAGGCAGTAGTGAAATCCAATTTTTTTTACTACTGGTTCTGTGGGCGTGACTTGGGTGTGATGTGGCTTGGTGGGCGTGGCTTGGTGGGCGTGGCAGGGGAAGGATACTGCAAAATCCCCATTCCCACCCCACTCCTGGGGGAAGGATATTGCAAAATCTCCATTTCCACCCCACTCTGGGGCCAGCCAGAAGTGGTATTTGCCGGTTCTCCAAACTATTCAAAATTTCCGCTGCCGGTTCTCCGAACTGCTCAAAATTTCCACTACCGGTTCTCCAGAACCTGCTGGATTTCATCCCTGGATTGAGGTCCTGGAGTCTGCGACACAGAGTCCTGCCATCGCTAGCTTCAACCCATGGCCCACTGCAGGAGGTTGATTCATGGAGTGGGCATGAGCATGGTAAGATCGTGCTGTGTTTGCCTATCCTTCCATTTCACTGGGGGTATGAAGGCTGTCCTCATAAAATTAATGTCCCTGCTTGCTGACTTCTTCATCAAGCACAGGGATGGGGACTTGCAGCCCTCCAAGGGAGCAGAGGGACATCTTCCCTCAACCTTCATCTGTAGCCAGAGATAAAATAGAATAATTCAACAACATCTATAGAGCTGCAGTTTCTCTACCTATGCTCAAGGTTTTTCTTATTTCATTGGCAAAAAAAAACACGGTATTTCAGCAGGATTTAGTTAAGGTGAAGCATTAGAACAGGAGGAGGAGGAAGAGGAAGAGGAAGAAGAGGAGGAGGAGGAGGAGGAGGAGTCTTCTCCATGGTTCCAGGGCACTTTATTGTTCCAGAGTAGTTAAGAAGAAACCAGGAAATCTTTAGGCTGAGTGCCTCTTGTTGTTTCAAAGCCTCGACGGTCCCACAATCCCTTCAGTTCACTCCCTCTGTCTTGGCATGGATGCTACCAATCCTGGGTCTTGGGTCCCACCCTTCTGAGCCACGAACCAGTACTCGGGCCCCCTGCTTCCCTTCCTCCCCACCCCCGGCACTCTCCTGGCCACAGAGTGATTTATTAAGCAGGCCCTCCCTCAATGGAACATGTGCTGAGGTTGCCCACGGGAATGTGGGTAGATCTGACAGTCGCACCGCCACAGCCCAGGCTGTAATTTCAAAGCCTGCCCTAATCAGTTAAAAATATATTAAAAAATGGGAATGCGGGTTTTGCCAGGGAAAATATTTGTAACCACTTGGCAGGCCCTGGTGTGATAATGAAAGGGTCCGGACTACCCTTGGGGAATGACCGATTTAGAGATTGCATTCTCATAGGGACTTAGTCCCTGGACCTGGCACTCTTTCCCAATATGTTCCCCTTTCCCAACCCCAAATGCAGATTCAGCCTTCCCAAGCCACTGTCCAGTGTTGTTGGCTTTCCGTTAAACTATATGGAGGTAGAGGAAGATTGGGAGATTTTGTCTTGGGTAATAGTGTCCTAAACCTGCCTCTTTCTAGACTGCAGACCATGTGTGGCCATAGCCTTATTGTGTTCACGTGACTCAGAGAAATTGCCAATCAGGCACCGTTAAGACACTCTGCCCGAAATCTATTACAGAGTTTCTAGAGATATCTTCATGGCCAGAGTGGGAGATGCTGGCTATGTCCTGGTTCACAACTTCCACCTCCCATCTAATTTGGCTGATGCTAGTTGACATCTAGTCACAAAGCACTTTTTAAGGACAGGTTGGAAATCAGGAGGTGGAATGAGGAGATGCTACTTCTCTTATACATCTGCATAGGGTTATGGGCTGTGGGCAGATAGGAACCATGTAAGGGAAGTGTAATTAAATGAATTAGATTTTATAAACTAAGGTACTGTTGATTACGGCAAAGATAACAGAGTAGGAATTTGTGGGTAGGGATTGCAACTAATAGAACATATGGTTTCCATACAAAAAAACCTGGTATTTCTGTTGTAAAAACAGAAATGGGTCAGGTAGTACTTGATAGTCATGAGACCAAGAAACCTACCACAATAATAATGGGCCATAGATGCACAAAAAAAATATGTTGTGCATTCCTAACTTGCTGTTGCTTTGGGACCTAAATTGTAATAATCATGGAGACATCATCCTATCCTTTTAATATTAGTAACGTAACATCCATTTCTATCTGATGTTGCAGGGCTCCATTTGTTATAGGACAAAGATCTTCAGATGTGATAGGAGAATTCTTATTTGAGCAAATTACTGTCTGAAGTTGAGTCTTAGTGCAACATGCATTGCAGACTATAAAATTCATTGGGAATTCCCCCTAGGCAAGTGTACATATCACCCTTCCAAAACACTGATTCCCAGCCAGAATTGTCCATGCTGGCTGTGAATCTCGAGAGTTTTACTCCAACAAATCTGAGGGGTATTGAGGTTTGGGAGATGAGCATAAATTAACAGTTATGTAGATACTCTAAGATATGAAATAAAGATAGGGAATGTTCTGTAATTATTCCCTGATTTCTTTAACCTAGCAGTTCTCTTTACTGTCATCCATTTCATTATAATCGAAGCTGTCTTCATGTTTGGGAGCAAATTCAGACTAGGCTGTCATGGGTACAAGCAAGGCCTGTTAAGCCTTGCCAAGGCCCTCAGTAAATTTAGCTTGATCTAAAATAGATTATGTATCCTCTCATAGCCATATATTGTATGGGAAAGATTGGAACTGGTAATAAAACTGTTTTCTCAAAGACAGTTTTCTGACCATACTGATCTTAATGAGAAATCATTCAAAAAACTGTGAGGAACCTCCTGTTGCCTGGACCATAGTTGCAAGCTATAGGTCTTATCAAAAGGATATCCATATTTGCTTTCTTCAAAGGCCACTTCTTTCTTTCAGCTGGTCTGCCGAGCAGGCCAACCCTTGGTCAACTAAGATGCAAACATAGATATAATTACCTTCCTTTAGTCTTGCCTTCTAGTCAACAAAGTGATCTCTTTATTTCTAAATATTCCTTCCTGGGCAGATAAATGTCATTAATCTAGTTTCTAGCACAATAAGTTAACTTTACTATGTAGGATGTGGTCCCTCCTAGATCATTTCCTGCAAAGTAAATGCATATTATCCGGTAGTCATTGTTGGCCTGTCCTCATGTTCAAATTAGGACTTGGATTTCAGAGGGAAATGAAGTTTGATGTCCATATGACCCTGTTCATGGTGTGCTCCAATTACCTCTAGGCTGAAATCTAGCAGAACATGTTGCTATTGTGTTAATGAGAGCTATTGTTAGGGTTTTTTAAAAAAACAGTTAGCAAATAGCTTGCTTAACTGTCAGTCCAAAATATTAAAAAAATTATCATTTTGCCCAAAATATAAAAAATTCTTAAAACCAGCTATAGATGGAAATTGTGTAGTCTAGTAGACTTGAATTTTTCAAGTATTATCACATAAAAGTAAACTCTCTTTCATGAGCGATAACTTCCTTGGCAACGGTACAGAAGTGATTTGCCATTACCTTTTCTCTGGTTTGTTTTTACTTTCCATTCTAGCCTGCAACCTTAAAATCAACTTGTTGGCCTCCCATTCAAATACTAACTAGGTCCGTCTCTTCCCAACCGCAGATAAGGTTGACCAGGTGCTGCCACTAATGCATTTCTACCACTATGCACAGTGTAGGAAATAAACAGGGGAACTAAAAATCTTAACTCAATAAGACAAATGTGATACGATAGGCATCACTGAAACATAGCAGACAAAACTCACAATTCCCACGTTTGGCTAATTTAAAAGGAACAGACCAGGTAGAGGTGTTGCGCTTTATGTAGATAAAATAATTCCAAGAAAAAGAGTATGTTTGAGTAAGACTAAAAGGAGAAATAAAAGTGATAGTTGTGGGAGTTTACAAGGAACCTCCAGACAGAGTATACAGACAAGGCCTTTTTTTGTCAAATGTCCAGAGCGCACATCTA